TCTATCTATCTATCTATCTATCTATCTATCTATCTATCTATCTATCTCTTTATTTATTTTTGCTAGTCTCAGAACTGATTAACAGGGTAATGAAAGTTTCAGACCTGAGCTGTCTTGCAGAGCTGTCTTTGCAGTCTGCAGTTCTAAACTGAACCACCTTAAAGAGTTTCTAGTCTCCAGCAACTCCCTGACTGTGTGTACACAGCAGAAGACAGAGCCCCACATTAAATCAGACACTCTTTAGCCAATGACCAAAAAGGGACGCTCTGACATTTGCTACATGTAAGAAAGATTAAGTGAGCATTTGATGTTCTTGCTTAATTCCCAATAACTTTTTATTATTGGCCGCAGACTCTTTTCTAACCTTCACGCATTTACTTTAAACATTGTCATTTCGTGTTAAAATTAGACACCACTAGGTCACTTTGAGGTTTCATCATTCACTAATATGTTTGCTCCACAGTCCTCGGGGCAAGGAGGCAGAGTGCCAGGGCTGTCATTCTGGTGCTGATAATTCAGAAAAGCAGTTCAGAGCAAACCACACACCATGAGCAAAACAAAGAGAGGGGGAAAAAAAAAAAGGTCAGCTTTGCCGGAGAGAATAAAAGAGTGCAGCCTGATAAAGAAACAAAAATACTCCAAAAGAATTTAAAAAAAAAAAAATCTGCGGAGAATAAAATACAAACAAAAGAAAGCCTTTATTTCGTTGTAGACGGCAGAAGGCAGCACAGTAATTTGAGGGGTCATAGTAATTATTTCATTACTAAGACCATCTTCCAGCAGAGGACGAAGCAGAGATGCTACGTCCTGCATCTGCTGGTAATTCTCAACTGAGAGCTGAGCGCTCCTTGATATTGGGATGTAGCTCCTCTTTGTAGCCCAATTTTACTTCGGAGAATGGGAAGAAAGAGAAAGAATAGCAAGCATGATTATACCCAAAAAATCAGCAGGGTGATTTCCAGCTACCTGTGTGGCCCTCCTGCTATTGTCCTTCATCTGCCCCCGAGCGGCAGATCACCTGCACATCACAGGTGATGGCACGCAGCCGGACGGGACACCACCATCGTACACTAAAATCAGCCTCCTCCTGGTTCTTTTCAGGAACTCGCTGTGCTTTTATTTTATTTTATTTTATTTTTTGAAGAATCCCTTCTGTATTTTAATAAAAAAATTGTCTTTGAAGCATTACAGAGGATAAGTCATAATTCTGAGGAATTATTTTAATAGGTGTGTTATTAGCATCAGCATTGTAATCCTACCTTGGAAAGGTGTCATTCACACACTAAGTCAAGTTCATGGAATCTTCTTCCACTTTTATGTTTAAAAAAAGCTATAATCCATTTCAGGTATGTAGCACAATGTGAAGTGGGTGAGAAAAATGTAGCTCTATTTTGGAGCTATTCATACGTACATACATTTATATGTATATAAAGGTACCCTGAGCTCTGTGTGTTGGCAGATGTAGTAGTTCTGCTCTTTCTTGTTTTTTTTTTTTCTTAAAAACTTCACCTTTTATATCTTCAAGTTTTATGTGTTTTTTTTTGTTTCAAGTTATAAGATTGATATATATCCATTTAAAAAACCCATAAATCTTTTACTATAAAAATAAGACCTTCCCTAATTTTACCACAAAAATAAAACATCCCCTAATCTAATTTTGTCTATCTAGCCTCTCAGTGCTTTTTTTTTTTCTTGTGCAGCTCTGCTTATGTGTATGTAACTTTTTCACAGGATGGAATTACAGCACATCATGTGTGTGTGTGTGTGGGGGGGCATGTGCGTATGTACATGAGGACCCTAGGGCAGGATTTTGGGTGTCTTCTTGATCACCTTTGGTCTTAATGCCTTGAGACTAGCCCCCTCATTAGAACTCTCTGCTCCGCACTGCAGCTCACTCTCCTTATCAGTTAGGCTGGGTGGCGGTGAGCCCACAAGGTCCATCCACAAGGTCCATCGTGTCTACCTTGTAACGCCAGGGTTATAGGCACGAGCAGCCACGCCTGGCTTTCACATGGATTCCAGGATTTGAGCTCAGGTCCTCATGCTTGCAGAGCAAAGCACTCTTTATCTGCTGAGACATCTCTCCGGACCTATGGTTCATCGTTTTAACTTGTATTTGCTTAAAGATAAAAACTAAAAAATATCAGTATTTTCCTGTCATTCTATAAATAAGACACAGTGGCCACAAAATAGTAATCTAATAGATATTAGGTGGCCTTCAGGTTTTTATTAAAAGGAAAAGTGCATATTTTTGTAGTAGTTTAGCAAAATTATTTGATACTTACAGAGTTCCAGGGTAGAAGATTCAAAAATTTTGGACATATTGAAAGATTCTGGTATGTTTTTGCCGAATGTCTTGGTCAGTAGTGTCATCAACAGGAGATGGCTATGCCATGTCTCTTTCACACTAGGATAAATGATTTTGATAGACCTATCAAATGTCTTCATTGGGTCTATTTATACCCACTTGTATTTATTATTTTTGCCAAATTTGAAGTTAAGAACTATGTATTTGGCCCTGTGTGTGTTTTTTTTTTTTTTTTTTGTCCGAATCCTCCCTTGTCCTCTGCTGTTTCCACAGTCCGGCTACCTTTCTGCTGGTTGGCAAAAGCTCTGTGTGTGTCTGTCACTTCTTTCTCTGTCTAGAGCTCACTTTTTTAAAATTTATCTTTAATTCTTTTTTTTTTTTTTTTTGAGGCAGAGTCTGGTTGTGTAGCCCAGGCTCAAGCTGGCTTTGAACTCGCTCTCTAGCTCCTGCCGCCGGGGACTCACAACCCTTCCGCTTCAGTTTCTGAGTTCTAGAATTACAGTCATGCACCGTCATGCCCGGTGGACCTTCTCTTTAAATATAGAAAGTGCTGTGTCGAGTGGAGAAAGGTCTCAGGTGTGCTTTAGATGGGTGACCCTGCTTTTAAAAGCTGGGGTTCTGCCTGTAATTAGTCTGTGTGGGTTGAGGCTCCCCAAAGGCCCCCTTCAGTTCTGTCACCATCTACGCTTGGCACATTTTCTCCCACTTGGTTGTGTCGGTGGGATCCGAACACCGAGGGCTTAATTTCAGTGTAGTTGTAGAAGTTAATGCCCCTGCTTTCCTTTGAAAGGCTTTGTAGCTGGTGCTTAAAGAGGTCCTATTATGTGGGCCATCGTTTTAATGGAAACTTCATGAAGGCCATAAGCCACAGAGATGTTTTAACCTGTCTAAGTAGTGATTTCCAGGCCTTAGTAACCGAGGCCCGGCTGTGCATGCATATGTGTTGGGAAGCCTTGCCAGGGAGGCTAGATAAGAAACTCTTTAATCCAGGGTGCTGGCATTAGAATGAGAGTTTGATAACACTCGCTTCAGATATGCGCGGGCTGTTTATTTTTCTGGTCCTTCTGTAAACGGACTTTCCATGTGGAACGGGGCTTAAAGGGAGAGTAGATGGTTGTGTTCCGGAGGCACCTAATTACTTGACTGTTGAACAGAGGCCTAATTGTACTTCTCGGGTCATCCCGAGGGTTTTACTGAGTGGGGTTTATATGGTTAAAAATACCCAAAGCTGAAGGCCACTTTCAAATCAAAACACTCACAGGAGAAAATTCCTGCTTCCTCCAGGTCCCTTACCAAGTGGTTCGAGTTCTGTACATTTATGGCATCTGTGCTGGGCAAATGATGGAAAATCCTTGATTTAGGCTCTGATTGGCTCACAAACAGCTCATTGTCCACTGTGTAAATTGCTGGCTTCTAGATGCAGACTCCGAAACTGAGAGCTCACTGTAAAGATGGATGGATGATAAGTGAAGCCCCAGCAAGGTCCTGGGGTCAGCTGCACCTTCTCTTCACGGGGTGGGAGGCTGGATTTCTTAGGACCTTCTGTTGTCCCACCACCCACTGATTTTCCTGTCTGACTTTTGCAGAAGAACAGGCTTTGCTTCCTTTTGTACTTCCCTACCCTGAGCGGTTTCCTACGAGGAAGTTGTGCATCCAAGTGCCCTGCACTGCACATCTCATACAGATTGTGGGATGTTTCCATCCTTGGTCTCACTCTGAGTGGAGTCCAAGGTTGGAGGCTCCTTTCTGTGCGTACCTGTGAGAAAGAAGATATTTCCATGGAATAAGATTTGTTGTCCAACAGGACAATCTGTGGATCACTGTGAAGCAACCATTGTTGCTTACATGCATGTGTGTGTGCATGTACCTGTGTGCCTGTGTGTGTTTGAGTGTGTGTGTGTGTGTATGTGTGTGTGTGTGTGTGTGTGCGCTCACCTGTGTGTGTAGGCTACAGGTGCTGTTGGGTGTCTTTTTTTTAATTCCCAGCCACCTTCTTCTTTGAGATAGCCTCTCTCACTGGACTTGGATTGTCTTTAAGCTCCAGGGTTTTGCCTGTCCTCACCACGTTCCCTCCTGCAGGAGGTTCCAGGTGGAGAGCACTGCACGCAGCTTTTTATGTGGATGCCGTGGACTTAACCACATGCCCTCATGCTTGCACGGCAAAACACTGGAGCCCCTGAGCCACCTCCCTAGCTCCCAAAGTCACTTTTTGAAAAGTTAAAACAGTAAAGAAGAGAGTAAATAAAAACTATTTTTTTTTTTTTGTAAGACTAAGACATTTAAATTTTCTCAAAAATAGTCGTTGTGTTTGGAAACAATCAGTGGAGTAGACTGGGAAGGTTTTATCTGGAGTTGGCCGGAAAGAATGTCTTCCATCTTCGAAAAGACTAGGGTATATATAATCTCGTATCTTAAGTTTTGTTTTGTTTTTGCTAGTTACTCAAATGGTCTGATACCAGGAAATGTGTTTTAAAGAAAATATAACTGGGGAGATAAACTTTAATAATCACTCATGACTTCACAATGTTCAGCTTCTATTTTTATTCTTTTCCTGCCTTTGACATTTCTGATTCGTTAATGCAGGACGTATAACCTGACCATTCTAAATTGAAAAATGCAAATTACTGACATTGTGTTACTCAGAGAAACTGAGATTTAGGAAAACTCACCATAACTGGGATATTAGAAAATAAAGAAATTAAGACAATCAAATCCTACTTTTGTAAAGAAAAATTAATGCTAGAAAGCTATGATTCTCTCACTCGTGTCAGCATCCTGTCCCTTCATCTGGAGTGGGAAGTTGGAGTTCTAGAAAGTAACGCTGTGTTGTTAAATTTGGGGGTGACAGCGTGGTTTGGTGACTGACATCCTCCTCACTTTACTTTCATGTCAGAGATGATCGCTGACCACCAGATCGAGACAGGCCTCCTGAAACCTGACCTTAAGGATAAGGTCACGTACACTTTGCTTCGGAAACACCGACATCAAACCAAGAAATCCAACCTTCGGTCCCTGGCTGACATCGGCAAGACGGTCTCCAGTGCAAGTAGGATGTTTACCAACCCTGATAATGGTAATGCAGAGCCGGCCGGCTGCTGCTTTCTCCTGCTGTGTCTCGCCTTCACTCCATTCTCATCCTCTTCTCCTCCTCTTCATATTCCTCTTCTCAAGTTCATACGCCACAGTCTTTTAACAATCCCTTTAGTACAGCTGGGCAGGTGTGCGATTTTGCTGGAAAGGCTTCCCTGTTGCTGTAGGTTACAAAGCCACAGTGCCTGCCTGGCTTTTCTGTGTGTGTCTGGGCTGATAGACTGAAATGGTTTGCTAACAACTCTGTGGTGAAACCACTGAGTATCCCAAATGAATCAGCAAGCTTGCAGATAATATTGGGTGCCCCAGGGGATAGGTCTTCAACAAGTAGGAAGATCCAATAAGATCAGATAAATGCCTTGAAATCTCCTATCACAACATTTTTGTCTTAGGATGGGAATCAGTGTCTACTCTATTAGTGCAAGACTCAATATTATTTTTACCCCTTGAAAAGGCAGCTGATATCGTGATAAATAATCATCAGATTCAAATGGAAAGGTAATCACTCAAGATGGGATATGAACCTATACAACAAAAGGAAAGGCACTATGTTCTTGTCACATTTATTTTACTGCACTGACCACAATTTTCTGCCAAGTCTCTGTCTTACACATCATTCTCTTGGCTGGAAGTAAATTTCATGTCTGGGTGCAGTCTGAGAAGGGGAAAGCACGTTGCCATGAAGCGTGCGAGACGAAGATGGGTTGGGCAGGGTGGAGTGAGCATTGGCTTGGTAGAACCAGTTCTAGACTCCACAATCCTGCACTCTCTTAGTAACAAGAGGACGAGGGAGACTGTGACGCAGTACGCTTGCCTGTACCTTCGTGATGCTAGACAACTCTCATATAGTATTCTCAGCCAAAAGGCAAGTGAAGATGATTACATCAAGCGAATTTTGATCCCAGCCACTCCATATTCAGAAATGTGATTTTTTTTCTCACTTAATATTCAAAACCAGAGGTGTGAAGGTGGATTACTGTCAACAAAATTTCATATTTTTTAAACCCAAACTGCCTATAAAAATAATTAAGATATGAATGTTTTCATAAAATACATTTACAAGTGAGTGAGAGACAGAGTTTAATTTAGAGTGCTTCTTGTATAATTTGGTGCTTCTACTGTTACCAGGAACATTGCTGTCAACAGAGATATATTCGGCTTTACATTCCTGTTGATTTATTGGTGAAGAGAAGTCTGTGTAGCTGGCCGGCAGGCAATGCCGTTGCTTAAGTAGGTTGCTTTAACTCAGCTTACAAGCATTTTCTTTTAACCGGCACCTGTATTTGCAATTATGGCAGTTAAAGTTCTGTCTTTCCTTTTCATCTTAGGCAGTAATCTTCTTGCTCACATAAAAGATGGTTCCAAGAGCTAGAGATTCAGTTTGCTTGCATTAAGTCATGGGGTTAGTAGTCGTACACAGACGTAAGAAGATGCACTGTGTAGAGGAACAGTGACTGTGGCTGCCAGGAGGCTGTCTTCCCAGCAGGCCACAAGGCCCTTTCATGCACTGTAACAGAGCAAGGACTAGAGAGAGATGAGCCCCAGCAGCCAGGCTTTTGGGAGAAGGTATTTGGGTGTGAAGTACAATGAATGAGCTGAGATGGCTCTTCAGCTCTTGGTCCTGTCAGTAGATTCTGTTCTCCAGAGGAAGCTGAACCTGCCTCCACTGCTCACCTTTCACGTGTGCCGTGCTGTGCCCTCAGGGCAGAAAGCAAATGGGAGAGGGCAGAGGGTTCTCTTTCAGCTCTTCAAATGATCAGCATACACCCTGCAGCATGGGATGTGACTAGTTCGTTTCGAACGTGTTGTGATTGGCCTTCGTGTTACCTAACTCTTTAAATATCACAGGCAAGATTTGGCTTTGCCGGATCCTACAGCGATGACTTACATGTGCCTCCAAGGCACGTGATCATAAATCATGGGGTGCCAAGTTTTTTGGCTTTCTGCAGGTGCTTGTTCTTAACCTGCAAGTTGACACAGTTACTTTTATGTCTTAGGGCTTAATGACTTAATATTATGTTAAGAACTATGTAATGTTCTTTGAATAAACATCTAAAGTAAGGAATTATATGCCCTTCACTACTCTATTAATAAACAAGAATCTCAGGTCAACTGTGCTTGAAGCTGGATTGTAATAGCCTCATGCAAAGCCTAGTTAAATGTAAGTCACCTTGGCCTTAACTATAAAAAACAGATTCTGTGTCATAGACAGCTTTGGGAAAACCAGTAACAGCATGACAGATAGCTGAGTGGTGTGGAGACCCTTGAGTCAGGGGTTGTTTTAGTTCCTAGAGGTATCCTAGACTCAGTTCCTATCAACTCACAGGATCCCACAGGGAGGGAAAATTCTTCAAGAAGTTTGTTACATGCAGCTACTATGAAACCCCATCAGCATACAACTGAATAATTTATACTAAAAACAATGGCAACACATACTCAAAATGCCCAACTTCCTTGTTTGAAGACAGTTTATTATAATCTGTGCGCTTGAGGTGATTTCCACCTGTCTGTGCGAGTGCATAGATACTATGAAATGATTGCTACTATGCATTGGGTCTGCATCTGGTCCCATCATGCACTGGGTCCCAGTGCTGACTCCAGTAGGCTCAGGGAAGCTGCTGAAGGTTGTAGTTTACACCATAGAGATCAGCAAGTGCTACAAGCGGAACTTGCTTTATTATTGTTTACTATTGTTATTATTGTTAATAATGCAGAAAATACCTACAATGCAAACTCAGAGCATGTGCTTACTGTGTTCAGCCGAGAAAATACAAACAGTCCCCTAAGACTGAAAGTTTGTTTCTTGTTTTTTAATTTTTTTTTCTTTTGGAAGTTAAAACTCCTATATGATTTAGTAAAGACTGGCTGAAACGCAACTGATGAATCAGTAAAGCCCGAAAGATGTATTTATTGTTTAGTTTGTCTTATTCACATACATGATAATACTATAATTAAACATGGATGGATATTTCTTACCAGTTTGCAACTATAATTGGTTACATATGCAAAGATTCCTCAAAGATCAACAAAAGCATTCAGTAAGAACCAACTGGGTATGTGTAACTTACAGGACTAACGTACATTTTACATGTTTACAGTGTTTGCCCTAGATCTTTTATGTCAGCAAATTCACCCTATTTTCCACACATATGCTTGGACCCATACACTCTTTTCCCAAGTAGCTGGTTTTCAAACGTTTCTATCAGCAGTGTACACATGGCTTTACACACAGCAAAATACTAACTCAGAATTTACAGTGTTCTTGTGTGGTTTGGATCCCAGATGATGGTCTATGCCTATTATTATTATTATTATTATCCTTTAAACAAAACCATTTTTTTGACATTTCTTTTTTTAATGGTTAGTCCATTTATTTTTTAAAATTGTTACATCTTTTAAAAAAATTCTTTATTAATTACACTTTATTCACTTTGTATCCCCCCTGTGATTCCCTTCCTCCTCCCATCTCAATCCCTTTCTTCCTCCCCTCTCTGCACACATGATCCTCCCCAAGGTCTGGAGAGGACAGGAACTCCACAAGGAGAGCAACAGAACCAAAAAATCTGAGCACAGGGGTCCTTCCTGAGACTGATACTCCAACCAGGGACCATGCATGGAGATAACCTAAGACCCCTGCACAGATGTAGCCCATGGCAGTTTAGTGTCCAAGTGGGTTCCATAGTAATAGGAACAGGGACTGTCTCTGACATGAACTGATTGGCCTGCTCTTTGATCACCTCCCCCTGAGGAGGAAGCAGCATTACCAGGCCACAGAAGAAGACAATGCAGCCACTCCTGATGAGACCTAATAGACTAGGATCAGAAGGAAGGAAAAGAACAAAACATTTTTAGAAAAGAATTTTTATTAACTGCTTTACATCCTGATCCCAGCCCCCTCCCTTAACAAAGCCATTTTTGGCTGTAAAAAACAAAACGAAACAACGACGACAACAACAACAACACCTCAGGAAAAATGAGGGCAGTTTTCATGAGGTTTATGATTGTCAAATTTCCCTTTGGCCGACATATATATGAATTCTGCAGTTGTGTTTCCTGTCTACCAAAGAATACACAAACTCCATAATTTCTCAGTGTACTAACTGAGGAATTTCAGAAGTTAGTATATGCATGGAAAAATGAGTGAGAGTTTAGCGTTAGTGATGGACTGTCCTCTCTCTCTCCCTGCTGTGTTAGATTCAACTATATGACTGACTTTTGTGTGTTAAATAAAATTGACAGCTCACAAATTCATATGACACTGTCTGATAATTCTGTATGAACAACTTAAATAATAGTTATTTTAGTTTATTATTAAAGAATAAAACTTAAGCCTCGAACACTTTTTAAAAAAACCAAACATGATGTATTAAGAAGTAAAAACAGTTTTTATGTATAATTGCTAGTCACTGTTTAAAGATTTCATAAGATGTTCATGAGGCTGATGAACATGTTTTAAAGAAACATGATCTGATTTTAAAAGTATATAATTTCTCATCTTATGGATGGAAACGTGGAGACTTTAATATGTATTGTCTTACCCAGAGCTCATGAAAGGTGAATGAACCCTCGTTAAAGGACCAAGACCTACTAGGAATCCTAATTTGAGGAGTTAGCTTTTACTACTTTTGTGAAACTTATCAGACCATCTTTTTATTTTCTTCTTCTTCTTCTTTTTTTTTTTTCTGAGTTGCTCCACTTCTTCCCCCTTTACTGTCTTAAAGGCCAGTTTCTTGTCCCCGGTGACCTGGTAGTGCAAATGTCCTTTGTTGAGAAGTGGTTTTGCTCATTCAGTCTGACCCATACTATGAATTTCTTTCTTTCTTTCTTTGTTCATTTACATGAACCATAAAATTGAACTAATTTCAATTAGTAAAAAGTTACTTATTTTTCCTACCAAAAATTTAAAATATAATGTAGTCCATTTTGATATTTGTAAAACAGAAGTAATGAAATATTCAATGGGGGTTGGCAAGTGCTTAGAAT